AACCTCGTCTCTACAAAAAAATACATAAATTAGCCAGGCACAGTGGTGTGCACCTGCATCCCAGGTACTTGGGAGGCTGGGGCAGAAGGATTGCTTGAGCCTGGGAGGCAGAGGCTGCAATGAGCCATGATCACTCCACTGCTCTCCAGCCTGGGTGAAAGAGTAAGACCCTGTCTTAAAAAAAATAGCTGCTGGCCGGGCACAGTGGCTCAAGCCTGTAATCCCAGCACTTTGGGAGGCCGAGGCGGGTGGATCACAAGGTCAAGAGATCGAGACCATCCTGGTCAACATGGTGAAACCCTGTCTCTACTAAAAATACAAAAAATTAGCTGAGCATGGTGGCACATGCCTGTAATCCCAGCTACTCAGGAGGCTGAGGCAGGAGAATTGCCTGAACCCAGGAGGCAGAGGTTGCGGTGAGCCGAGATCGTGCCATTGCACTCCAGCCTGGGTAACAAGAGCGAAACTCCGTCTCAAAAAAAAAAAAAAAATAGCTGCTTACTGTCTCATTGTCTGTATGTAGGTACCATAATTTACCCAACTTTTCCTGTTGAGGGAAGTTGTCTCCACCTTTTTTTGTTATTATAAACAACACTCTAGTGAACGTCTCTGTGCACAAATCCTGTTCTGAAATGATCCTTCCTCTCCTGGTAATATGGATTCGCCACCAAGCATCTCACTTAAAAAAGAACCATTGCCTGGGATTTATTCAATCATCTTGACTCAACAGTGAGGAAAAGGCGTTTGACCAAGTACTGAGCAACAGCAAGTGTCTGCCTGGGTCTGGCTCTACGTGGGGAACAAAAGTAGAAGACAGGGCCTCTGTCCCCAAGGAATTGGGTTAATAGGAAGAGCAGCAATGGCTGCAAAGTCAGAGATCAGTGAAGCGCGGTAAGTAACTGAAAGTGAAATGGTGTGGCTCCGAGGCCTGCCTGAGCAGAATGTGAGACACACCTGCTTTGAGCTTCAGCTGTAACATCTTTAGCTCCCTTACAGACGGAAAAATGTGAAGAGCCTCCCCAGAGAAAATCAAATCTACATAATAGTGCTGTCTCTCAAACGCTTGTATTCACTCCATTCATCTGAGTCTGGTTTATTTCCTCCCGCACAATGTGGGGCCCTACTTTACCAGGGAAAATGGCATTTTCCACCCTTTGATGTTTCTCTACAGCCCCACAAGGAAGCCAGAAAATAAAACTGTCAGCAACAAATTATCTCTCAGAAAGAGGGAACCACATAAACCTCAGAGATGTTCAAAGACATTTCTTCTTCGTGGGAAAAGGTGGGTCTTAAAGGTGTGAAGTGAGAGCTGTAGCACAGGGGTGGGGTAGGGAGTTTGGAAGAGTTTTGTCCCATCTGTTTCTTTCAAACCCACAGGTCAGTGATATTTTAGGTTTCTCTTGGAGCAACTTTATTTACAGTAGAAATAGCAAAGACCCACGCCCTGTTTCTTCTCATTAGCTGCCCTTGCCTGTCTTCCCAACTGGCCAGAGATAACGCCCACAGCCCCCACAGCCTTACTGCCATGAAGGAGGCTTTCTTCCTAAAGAATGAACTGAGCTATGTCAGACTAAAGGTCTCCTGGGACAGTGGCTGGCCCCTAGGGACTGACGATGCCCTTGCATCTCTTCCAAAAGGCATGGCTAGTGCTGAATCAGCCCCCAGGGGTCTGGAAGCTGTAGGTCAGCCCCTGGTTCTCCCAGCCAAAGACAGTGAGTCAGCCCATACATACCCCATGTAATCCCACCCCAGGAATCAGGACCAAGCGACACTACAGCAGGTGCTGTGCGTAGAGCCAGATTCAGAGCCAGGGAGAAGGTCAGTGGTGTTCAGCCCTCTGGATATGCACAGCTTTGCCCACTGCAGTTTCTAAGAAGCCCTCTCCATAGGGACAAAATGCCACAGAGAGGAAACAAATCTGTGGAGAGGGCTTCTGGCCAGGAAGGGAAGCTGCACAAGCGCCACGCATCCAGAGCAACACAAGATGTCCCGTTAGGCTGCAGGGTTGCTCAGCCTGAACGTTTAAATCCAAAGAGAAGCAAGAGCAGCCACCCTGCCCTCTCTCCATGTACCCTCTCAATATGGAGGCCTATGCAAGATCCTGCCCATGAGGCACCAGCCTTCATGACAAAGCAGGTGCTAAGGCCAAGAAGACTGAGAGCCTCACTATAAATAGCACAGGGGCTAACAGCATGAGCTCTGTGTTCAAATCTCCACTATGCCATGTCCTAGCATTTCTAAGAGCCTTGGGTGTGCCTCAGTTTCTTCAACTGTAAAATAGGAATAATACTGCCCATTTCATAGAACCATTGAGAAGGCTAAGTGAAAGGGCCTGTGTGATGCACTTAAGCTTTGGGCCTGACAAACTCAGCAACAAAAACTGCGGAGATTCTTCCCCTTGCTCTGAGGAGAGCTCCTTACAGCCCAACTCCTACTGCCTGGTTCCCCCCGCAGCGTGAGCGGTCCCTCCACATGGGAGTGCCTCCTCCCACACGGGAGTCTGTCTTCCCTGGGGGTTCCCTCACACACCTCCCATAGGGCTAGATGCAGGCCAGGTACTCAGGAAATGTTTGTGCACCTCACTGGAGGGGCCTGGGGCACTGCCCCCTGCTCAGGGGAACAGAGAGGGTCTTTGCCTCTGCCCTTCTGACCCCTCTGCTGTCATCCCTCTGCAGGACAGCCAGAGCCTAGACCTGCAGTTGCTATAGCAACGACAGAGCCAGAGAGAGTACCAGGCAGTGCATCCCTGTGGCTCCAGAGAAGCAGGTACCTCTTCTAGATAGCGAAGTGGGGAAACAGCTGTGATAGCGGCCTCATGATGAGCTCCCTAGAAGGGGTCAATGGTTCTATGAAATGGGCAGTATTATTCCTATTTTACAGTTGAAGAAACTGAGGCACACCCAAGGCTCTTAGAAATGGTGAGACCTGCTGAGCTAGGACATGGCACAGTGGAGATTTGAACACAGAGCTCATGCTGTTAGCCCCTGTGCTATTTATAGTGAGGCTCTTAGTCTTCTTGGCCTTAGCACCAGCTTTGTCATGAAGGCTGATGCCTCGTGGGCAGGATCTTGCATAGGCCTCTACATCATCCATCCATCCATCTTTCCTTCCTTCCATTTGCTCAGTCACTCATCACTACTCTACACTAGGCAGTGTGCCAAGCACCAGGAAAACAAAGTCAAATGCAACTTTGAGAGAGCTCTCAGTCCAGGAGGGAAAGCAAAAGAGGAAGGCAGCAAGGGCAGGAGGTGAGGTAGTGCTGGCAGTGGGAAGGGTGAGCAGGGCAGAGGTTAAGAGTACAGGCTCTGGAGTCAGCCTCCTGCAAGCAAACACCAGCTCCGCTCATCTCTAGCTAGGCAACACCTGGGTAAGTGACTCTACCTCTAAGCCTCAGTTTACTGATCTGTAAAATGGGAGTCATTGGTATTTACTTCACAGGGTTTGGAGGTATTAGTAGTATATATAAAGTACCTAGCATATAGTAAGTGCTCTGTAAACAGAAAGGTTTACAATTCTGAATCTACCCCACATTCCCTCCTCTACAACCCAAGGCTAAAGCCCGAGTTTCCAGTTAGGGCTTCCTGCAGAGTTTTCTCAGCTAACTGGCTTTCAGGATAAGCTGCTCCTACTGCCACTGTACCTGGGATGTCTGTGTGTCCCCCACCTCTCCACCTCCCTGCTGCTATCAGATTACCTGGAACAGTGTCTCAGATAAAGTCCCCAAAGAGGATCTTTCTGTTTAGCAAATAAATGGCCATAACCATTTATTTTATAGTGAAATACTTAAAATACTTCCTGCCCTTGTTTTTTATACAGCTCCTTATTTTTCATCCTGATACCCTCCTCTTATGGCAGAAAGGCACAGAAACATGTAACACATGCATGTGTGTGCTGCACGTGCACGTGGGCACGTGGGCACACACACACACTTTGAGAGCACCTGTGAGCATAACCTGAATAGTATGCCCAGATCTAGCAACAGCTGTTCCTGCTAACAGTCATCCTTCCACTCTCCAGCCACAGTCCTGTGATGCTGGGACAGAGACTACCCCTACTCAGCGTTCCCTGGGGGCAGCATCATCACTAAGCGACCACTACCTTCATTGCTTTATATATCTCAACCCCAGTACAGGACTGGAAATGGCTTTTCATATTGGCTCCTGTGGCAGGGAGCTGACTGTTGCTGCTCGACTGCGCCCTCTGGAGGGGGCTGTCTGCTAATGGCAAAGGAGGCCCAAGGACCTTGCTGTCTACAAGGGGATTTGTGGGCATGGGGGATCCTTGGGAGGAAATGGCAGGGCAGAGTATTGCACAGTTCTTGTCCCTGGAGCACATGTGTGTCCTGTCCATGTGCAGCAAGGTACCAGGGTGTTTTAGTGTCCTTTCAGCATCCAAGCTGCTTCGTAACTGGGCAGGCCTGCAGGCATTTCAAATGGCCCCAATTTTAACCCTCAGAAAGAGATAACCTGCTCGAAGAGGAGACAAAGATTCTCTGCTGACCAAACTTTAGTCAGGCTCCCGAACCTCCTCCTAGGTTCATCTGTGTATGTCCTTGTAAAATTGTTTTAGCAAAGAACTCCCCCATGTCAATATCAGATCATTCTTGCTATCTGATCAAGTTCCTTGTCCTCCACCATCCCACAGGTGATGTCTCATCATCCTGGATCCTGGCCGGTCTTCAGCAAGAATCCTGTTAGGTCAGTTTAGCCAGGAGGATTCTGACCTAACAGGTCAGCTAGAGGATCCCTAACATTTCCTCTGAGTGATTTTCAGTCCACTGACCTCCACTCTACTCCTTGGCTCTAAATACCCACTGGTTCATCTTGTATTCAGAGTTGAGCACAATCTCCCTCCCCAACTGCAAAAGTCTCATTGCAACAGTCCCTAAACCTATCACGGTGGTTATGAATAAGTCTTCCTTCACATGCTTTAGACAAGTGTCAGTGAATAATTTTTTTCTTTAACAGAGAGTAGAGTAGTGAGATTGAGTATGCTTCAGAAACATGGGAAAGAATATTTATTTTGCATCAACAACATTGCAAGATTTCAGAATGCACAGCATTAAACTTGGCCTTGGGTGTGAGGGAGGAAGGGGAGGGATAAAATCACAGCTTTCAAGGGACCACAGGTTGAGATTAAACCCGCACACAGTCCCTCATTTCCATCACCTCCTCAGCCTGGCCTTCACTGTCCATATCACTACTGGCATTTTGGTCATAACTATTCAACCAGTCTCTAGGAAGTTCTGAACTTTCCCTCATCTTCCTGTCTTCTTTGGAGCCCTCTACGCTCTTCCAACCTCTGCCCATTACCCAGTTCCGAAGTCACTTTCACATTTTCAGGCATCTTTATAGCAATGCCCCGCTTCTCAGAACCAATTTTCTGTACTAGTCTGTTCACATGCTGCTAAAAAGAAACACCTGAGACTAGGTATTTGCTAAAGAAAAGAGGTTTACAAAAGCTGCATGTTCTCACTTATAGGTGGGAGCCAAACGATAACACATGGACATGTAGAGGAGGACAACACACCCTGAGGCCTATTGGAGGGTACAGGTAGAGGATGGGAGGAGGGAGAGGATCAGGAAAAATAACTACTGGATACTAGACTAAATATCTGGGTGATGAAACAATCTGTACAACACACCCCCATGACAGGTTTACATATGTAATGAACCTACACATCCTGCACATGTACCCCTGAATTTAAAATGAAAGTTTTTTTTAAAAGAGGTTTAATTGGCTGATGGTTCTATAGGCTGTATGAATTATAGTAGCTTATCCCACTTATAAGTGAGAACATGCAGCTTTTGTAAACCTGAGAGCCCTCAGGAAGCTTCCAATCATGGAGAAAGGCAAAAGGAGAGTGAGGCATCTCCCACGGTGGGAGCTGGAGCAAGAGGGGTCAGGGAGATGCTGCACACTTTTAAACAACCAGATCTCATGAGAACTCACTCACTATCACAAGGACAGCACCAAGAGAATGATGCTAAACCATTCATGAGAAATCTACCCTCCTAATCCAACCACCTCCCACAAGCATTGGGGATTACATTTCAACACAAAATCTGGTGGGGGTCACAGATCCAAACTATATCAGAGAATTTTAGATTTAAAATAAATTTCAAGAACCATTTTGTCACCAGCACCAGCACCACGACCACAGCCAGCTGTCCCAGCCACACAAGCCCCACCCCACCATGCTCCCTCCTCCCCCTAGCCATGTTAAATTGTACCTGGACTCAGTCCAGGCTAGGCTGTAGCTCAGAACCTCCAAGGAGTGGAACGTCACACAACCTTCATTCTGATGTTAACATCATCTATGATAATGAGTTCTTTTAAATGCTGTGGTTTAAACTAATTTTTTCCTTTCTCCAATCTGCAAAAAATAGAAAGTGGCTCTGATATGGTTTGGCTGTGCACCACCCAAAATCGCATTTTGAATTTTAATCTGAATTATAATCTCCACATGTTGGGGGAGGGACCTCAAGGGAGGTGATTAGATTGTGGGGGTAGTTTCCCCATGCTGTTCTCATGATAGTGAATGAGAGCTCATGAGATCTAATGGTTTTATAAGGGGTTTTTTCCTCCTTAGCTCTGCACTTCTCTCTCCTGCCTGTGCAGAAGGACATGTTTGCTTCCCCTTCCACCAAGATTTCAAGTTTCCTGAGGCCTCCCCAGCCATGTGGAACTGTAAGGCAATTAAACCTCTTTCCTTTATAAATTACCCAGTCTCAGGCACTTCTTTAGAGCAGCATGAGACTGGCCTAATATAGGTCCTCACCTTTAAATCCTTAAGTTTAGTGCTTTTTATAAGTTAGACACCTGGCAGATATGGTGGCTCACACCTATAATCCCAGCACTTTGGGAAACTGAGATGGGAGGATCACTTGAAGCCAGGAGTTTGAGACCAGCCTGGTCAACATAGCAAGACCCCATCTCTATTATTTAAAAGAAAAGAAAAAAGAGGCAGACACCAATTACTAAACGTGGTTATCTCTGGGACATAAGAAAATGGAATATTTTCTATTCTATTATTGCATTTTTAGCCCATATGTATTATCTTTCCGTATGTATTACTTATTTAAGAAGCATATTTTAAAAGTTCTTCATGGAGTGTTATTTAATTACCTCCTTCCCTCTTTTCTCCAGGCCATATCCTTCTAGTTTTATTCAAAGATTAATTTTGGAATTAATCTTTCAAAACTCAGTTTTCTCTGTGGGTCAGACGATTGACAAAGAAGTGAGATGGAGGAAGTGTAAGGACGTGCAGGTGACCAAGACCCTGGTAAACTGCAGGGAGCATGCCTGGCCAAGAGGCACTCAAATCCCAAACTGGGCTATAGGCCGCCAGGCTGCAAACTTCCCCCATGAGTGCTGTTCTCTGTTCTGTAACTCCTGGTTCTTCAAACTTTCTAAATTAGTGTGTGGAGCCCCAAAAGAGAACATCTTCATTTTAGTGAGCCAGACATGCCATTTCCTGTTGCATCAGTAGTAACTTTGGTCTTATGTCAAGCACTCATTAGTGCGCAGGATTTGTACCAGCAAAGGCTGATCAATCCCCTAAGTCCTATGAGAGGCCACAGGAGAAGATTCCTCTCTTCTTGAGCAAAGATCCCAAGGAAACAGTGATTCACAGACCTCACTCAGCATTAACTCGGGTGCCATGGCAACAAGGCTCCACATCCGGAGCAGATGGTACGGCAGACTGCCCCCGTCATGCGGTGTCTCTTCTGGAAGGTCTAGCCATCTCACCAAGCAGGCTTGCTTCTGCCTAGCTGGCACAGAGTAACACCTGGTAACTATTTACATGGGTCAAAATACACCCAGAGCCAGCAGATGGCAGGGCCAGGCTGAGATGTGGGGAGAGAGGGCTGGTGTGGGCTGTCTCAGAGGCAAAGGCAGCAGACAGCTCCTTAGGGGGCACAGACAAGGCAAAACATCGCTCCTGTTGCTGCCTGGTGTCTCAGCACAGCTAGAAGGATGGGAAAGGATCCAGCATGAGCAAAGCTGAAATGATCACAGGCTGATCCTCAGACGCTGAGATGAAAAGGCATTGGACAAACTCGGTCCCCCTTCCATAGTGCAGGAGTAGATGCTCCCAGCCCAAGGCACCTGTCAGCACCAGCCATCCTCAGCTCTTTGCTGTCTTCAGCCAAGGTGACAGAGGGGCCACATCGGAGACAAGCATCCCCACACCAGATAAGCAGCTCCAAAGCACTGGGTTTAAAACCTCAACCAAGATAAGTGGAGAAAGGGGTCTCCCAGGGACAGAGCCAGTGTCTTTTTCAACTTTATCCCCACTGTGCCCCTGGGCTTAGTACACAACAGGTAACCAGAAGCATTTGTTGAATTGGAAGAGAGTGTGACGCAAATCCAATGGAATGACCTTTGCTTGTGGCTGGGTTTGGGGCGTGTGTATTTTTTTAAGGCAGGATGCTGGCCATAGAACACTTTGTGAGACATCCTGAGCCCTGACAGCACCAGTGAAATTCTGACGTAGTTAGTCCTGGGTGATAAATCGCTGTTTCATTTCCTGCTTTGGAATTCTTTCCAGTCACAAGAACTTTGGTGTCTCCAGGCCCATGGCCAAAGTTTGGAGAATTATACTCATTCTCACCCACGTGGACAGCAGCATTCATTTGCCAAATGGAAGGTATTTGGGCTTGGAGTGTTTTCTTCTTCCTTCTCCCTCTTCTTAAGCTTTTACCAGGGAGGTTTTTGAAGGGTGTCAATCTGTAGAGAAAAGCATCAATCATAGGTTGACCCTGAACCTCAGCACCAGCTTCTGCACCAATAATCTAGAGATCAAACTGGGATGAAGGCCAAGGAGTCAGGAGGTACACAGGCTCCCAAAATGTGCTCTGACATTAGCTCCAGGTACTTTCTAGAAAATAGTTAGAAGCTACAGGCTAAGCAGACCACATGGCTCACACCTGTGATCTCAACACTTTGGGAGACCAAGTTCGGTGGATGGCTTGCAGCCAGGAGTTGGAGACCAGCCTGAGCAACATAGTGACACCCTGTCTCAACAACTAAAAAAAAAAAAAAAATTAACTCGGCATGGTGATGCATGCCTGTAATCTTAGCTTCTCAGGAGGCTGAGGTGGGAGAATCAATTGAACTCAGGAGTTCAAGGCTGCAGTGAGCCATGACTGTCCCACTGCACTCCAGCCTAGGTAACAAAGCAAGACCTTGTCTCAAAAAAAAAAAAAAAAAAGCAGCAGCAGCAGCAGCTACGGGCTAGAAGAGTCAGATATACATTATTATTGAAAGAATACATTTCCTGTTTTCATTTTATTGGGAACTTCAAAGAAAAGGAAGAGAGACAAATTGATTCCCAAGATAATCTGTGATGTAGACTTCCAACAAGCTGGGGAACTCTGGACGGTGAAGGGGTGGACTGTGGGGCTCAGTCCAGCCCAAAGTCAAAGGCATCAGGGTTGTCCTGAAAATAGAGATTCAAGAAACCCTGGAAAACGCACTTATCCGTGAGAAGGGCACAGACTGTGGGGTCCTGCTTCATGGCTGATATCCAGAGCCGCAGGGCTGGCATGTGGCTCAGGCAGCTGCAAGACAGGAAAGAAATGTCAGCACAGCGCTGGGGGAGGCATCAGGAAAGGGGATGCATGTTGCTTTTTAGATTTGTGAGATATGAAAAACGGGTTTATTTTTGGGAATTATCTTATTATCAAATGAGAATGATAACTTCCTGGAGGAAAATCTTATTTTTTGAATAGCTGAATGTGTTAGAAGTTGTTGCTTCTAATAATACAGTGAAATACATTGGACTGATGGCTCTGGGAAAATAACGTGTCTGTGCTTCATTGGGTTTTCTGGGGTTTTGTTGTTTTTTAATATACATATTTTTAAAGCTTGAGAAACTTACATGTGCTTCACTGTTTACCAACAAAAAGACAACCTTCTAAAACAAACATTCTTGGGTCATTCTCAGAGTTTACTTTAGGAGATAGAAAAAAAATAAAGACAAATAATTTCCGAAACATTTTTTAAATGAATAAAACAATGATGAAACTTGAAATCATGGAGCTGACAGGGCCCTTTCAAAGATCGACCAGGACATTTAGGTCTGAGGTTTATAAAGCGACGAACTGAAGATAATATGAGTAGGGTGTGGCAAATCCAGGACTAGAAGGCTTCCTAACCCGTGGTTCCATGCTCTGTCTTCAGAGGATACAGCCTTTTGTAAATTTTATGTTTGAGATTGAGTTTAAAATATGTCATATCTGATCTCCTTCAAAGAGAGCTGAAGTCGGAAGTGCAGGAGACAGTGCCTGGGTGGGCTCCAGTTATGAAGGTGCAGACACAGTTCTGCTTCAGCAGGGCCAGATTTCTAAGTACCAGAAATGTCCAGCACCCACCATGAGGGTGGCTTGGATCAGGGTGGGCGTCCACACACATCCAACTTCTCTGAGCTTTGAGGTAACAGAGCACTGTTCTGCCCAGGACCCTACACAGCTATTTCTTCTGCTTTAACATCCCTGCACTTCCCTGCCTTAACATCCCTGCACTTCCCTACCTTAACATCCCTGCACTTCCCTGCCTTAACATCCCTGCACTTCCCTACCTTAACATCCCTGCACTTCCCTACCTTAACATCCCTGCACTTCCCTACCTTAACATCCCTGCACTTCCCTACCTTAACATCCCTGCACTTCCCTGCCTTAACATCCCTGCACTTCCCTACCTTAACATCCCTGCACTTCCCTGCCTTAACATCCCTGCACTTCCCTGCCGTAACATCCCTGCACTTCCCTGCCTTTGTGTTTGTTCCAACACCAAGCATATATTACTATACACATCTTTTTTAGAAGGTTATTTCTATCTGGGGGAAGATTCCTCTGGGCAATGAGACACGACTAAGGTATATGGTGTCCATTGGAGATCCAGCAGGACCAGGTGGAGGTGTTGGGCACCGTGACAATGACTCTCCACCTGCTCTCACACCAGCTGTGTGGGCGCGCTGGTGAGGAGAGCAGGCTCTGAAGTCTGTGGGAGGCTCCTGGACTAGGGGGTCTTATCTGCAGAAATGCAGGTAAAGTCTGAATTTAACAGTGGAAAAGCATATGTGTTTTTAACAAGGAAGCACACGCTGCAGTTTAGAAACCTGATTCACTTCACAGACACTCTGAAACATGTCTATCGGGGGCACGCAGACCATCTTAACCATTGTTACTCAGTGTGACTCTGGGAATTTACCACCACCAGTTCAAATGTCTTACTCCGCTATCCCATACACATCCAGCCGCTCAAACCAGGGCCAAAGGAGGTAATCAATCATGGATATACAGGCTCCACCAAAGAAGGTGGTGTTCTGATACTCAAGAATCTAAAAATGAAAACAGAACAAAAGCAAATAAGTTTATATATCTGCTGACATGTTTATAGACACTAAATGCAAATCTCAAACTAATTCTCAGAGAAGGAAAAACTGAGGCCTCTATCCTTCTCCCTCTGGTTAGGAGAATGCTTCCTCCCTTTCTCCGAGATTTCCTCTGCCTCTTTGAGGGTCACACTCCTGGTCACCTCTGTCCCTTCCCTCCTTTCAACACTAGAGTGACAGTGTGGCTCATCTGATTGGAGAAACTGGAAAAAAAGCCCCCGCAGAGTAGCCCCGCCCCTCCCTCTTAGCCTGGAGCAGCTCCTCCGTGTCCTAAGCCTTCCAAGGACGAACTGAGAGCCCTGGACAGAGGAGGCTCCACCTCAGGCCAGCAGTGCCCATTACTTGAGGACAAGGGGAGCCTCAGCCTGATGTTGAAGGGCAGCACCAGGAACCCCACTTAGAGCCTTCCATTCTCCAAGATCTGCTTTAACAATATGAAAGGGGATGCTGTAATTTCCAAGCCTTATTATTTTATCTTCTCAATTCAAAACTAAGGCAGGAAAGAGCATCCTATTTAATAGGCCCCTCAAATTCCAACCTTGTGTTCTTCTTCCGCTGTTTTGTTTGTTTGTTTGTTTTTGAGATAGAGTCTTGCTCTGTCACCCAGGCTGCAGTGCAATGGATCAAACAGCCCACAGCCCACTGCAGCCTCAACCCCCTGGGCTCAAACAATCCTCCCACCTCAGCCTCCCAAGTATCTGGGATTACAAGTGCAGGCCACCATACCTGGATGATTTTTATATTTTTCTGTAGAGATGGGATCTTGCCATGTTGCCCAGAGGTCTCAAACTCCTGAGCTCAAGGGATCCTCCTGTCTTGGCCTCCCAAAGAGCTGGGATTACAGGTGTGAGCCACTGTACCCGGCCTCCAACCCTGTGTTTCTACCACACTCTCTTTTTTCATTTGAGCTTTTCAAACTTCACACTTGTTGGCCACTCAACACTATTACTTAATGCACTAAAATAAAACTTCTCATTCCCAAATGAGACAAATCAACCCAGATAGATGGACTGTAAGGAAAACAAACTCTCAACAGACAGGTAGCCAGACAGCCCCAGAAAAGTACCTGCAAATTTAAAAAAGCAAAAGTGTTTAGCAGAGGTTATTGTTGGTCCAGGTCTTTCCAAAGAGAAAAGTATGGCATGAATTACCCGGTTAAACCAATTAAGTTACTCATTTGGACCTACATAACTCATAATCAACTCAATACTGCCCTATAGCTATAGATCTTGATTGCTGGGCCCAGGTGAGTTGTGGAAATAAGCTATGCTGGTGTTTTCATCTGGAAATATCAAGGTTCTGGTGAGGGACAGAAGGCAAGAGGACCAGAATCAAGCTGTGAATTGGGGTCCCAGGCAGGGATGACACTGACAGCCCGGGGACACTCAGGCTTGATTCTTCACAAGCCAGGCCAGCTTGTTGGCTCTGCTGTGGGGTGGCCAGACTTGTAGGTACAGAGGTGAGCTCGGGAGCCAGCAGACCTGGTCCTGTGCTGTGTGCTGAGCTTGACCTCTGATTCAGCATGGAACCCAGGGCAACTTACCTCTTTTTCAAGCCTCCATGTTCTCATCTGCAAAATGGTGGTAATGTTAGTGCCCACCACGGAGGTTATGGTGAGGCGTAACATCACTGTGTGTAAACACTCTGGCCCCACTCAGTAAATGTGAGCTCCTGTGATGAGTGGAAGCACAAGCCCCTGAAGATGACACCCACAGAAAGCAAAGCCATCCCTGATGGAAAGGATCAATAGGCTCCTCAACCTGCCACCCCTTCTCAGAGGGGCTGCCCTAAAGCCTACATCTTCAGACCTCCCAGTGTGGCATAGAAGAGTCCCCCTGATCATTGTTCTGGAAGTCTGAAAAAAAAAATGTTGGGTGGCATCACCTTGTTCAAGGAAGCTAGCAGGAGGGCACTAAAACAGCAGAGTCTGACCAGTGAAAACTCAAAACAGAAGCTATTTATAGCCAGGTATAAATAAAATTTGGGTAGAGGGGAAAGGAACAACTCATCTAATTTTTATGGATTCCAGAAGGCTCCAGACTTTATGTTCAGGAACAGATGATCATTATTCAAACTCTTATCACTGGCTTTGGAATGTGTGCCTCCAGCTTGTTATTGGACTTCGTGGCACAAATCAGAACCAAATCTACACCAAGCAACTCTAGAACATCTGTATGACTCTTCTGCTTTACAGAACAGAGGTGTTCTTGGAAAAGTCTTTGTCAAAACAAATCATAAGTTGACATTTAATGGAAGCCTTGATGGATCCTTTGGTGAAATGAGAAGGGAATTTTTAAAATGCATAACTGCTTAGTAACTGATGTTTATTTAGTGTATATCTCTAAAGCTTTCTAATTACTCAAAGTAGGAGTATGCCTCTAAATATACAAGATCTGATGGATACCATGAATTTGTATATTAACACTCATAAAATAACCCAACCCTTATCAAGTTACTTGGCACAATACAAAGTTGAGATTAGCATTAGGAATAAATGGATTAGCTATCCTTCCCCCAGTCCCCTCCCCTCCCCAGCGAATGCAAATACACATTTCCCTCACATTTTCCAAGTGTGTCTTGAAACCACCCATATTAAAACTATTTGCATTTCTTAACACAGCGGCAGATTATCGAGCCCCATCCCAGACAGGTATTTCTGTACCAATTTCAAGTAGGGCAAGTCTAAAATCCCAACAGAAAAGCTATCTTTCCCTAAACTAGCACAAAGTACTCACTCCTTTAGAGACATAGGAGAACATCCTGGACAGGCCTCCCTGGAGGTTTGCTGAAGTCTTCAGGAGTCTCGATAGGAGAGCTCCCTTCTGCGCAAACTTGGAACCTTCTAGACATAAAATTACCTTTCCCCTTAAGAATCCTACAAAATCAGGACTGAAAGGGCCCCTGAAACTCATCTAAGTATGACCTCCTCATTTCACCATTTATTTCTACCATGCTCATTACACAAAGGATTAGAAGTGTGGTCTAAAAATGTGCACTACATACTAAATATGAAAAATAGTAAAATACTATAATCAGCAAAAATGAAAGCTGGAACAGAAAGTCAAAAACCAGGAAGGAAAACAGTATCAAGATATCAAGATATCAAGTCCTGGGTCCTGCAGAGTTCCCTTAATAAAGCCTTGAATTTGACTCTTGGGTTTCCTGGCAGCCGAAGGGGAGAGGAAAACATACTGGGGCTGTGATTCTTGTCTCCAAGGGGAAGCACAGGGAAGCTTGCTATACAGATGAGGAAACTCAGTCCCAGGGAGGTTACAGGGCTCTCTGGTTCACACCAGGGCTAACACACAAATCATATTTTCCTAATTCCCAGACTAGTGTCAACACTTATGTCATTCAATTTCAAATATATATTTTTAAAGCCTAATTTAAAACTTCCTCATATTTAAAACCAGCCTGAGAAGCATGGTAAAACCTCGTCTCTACAAACAGCACAAAAATTAGCCAGATGTAGTGGTGGGTGTCTACAGTCCTAGCTACTAAGGAGGCTGAGGTGGGAGGACCACTTGAGGCTGAGAGGTCGAGGCTGCAGTAAGCTGTGAACATGCCACTACACTCCAAAACAAGACCCTGTCTCAAAAAACAAAAACAAAAACAAAAAAATTGGCCAGATATGGTGGCTTCTGCCTGTAATCAAAGCAATTTGGGAGGCTGAGGTGGGCAGATCACTTGACCCCAGGAGTTTGAGACCAGCCTGGGCAATAAGGTGAGACTCCATCTCAAAATAAATAAACAAAATAAAATAAAAATTAAAAAGCTTCCTCAAGTCTCTTGTGAATTCTTTTCTGTAAGAATGAGGAAAAATACCATGACCTGTTATCTTGATACTGTTTTCTTTCCTGTTTCTTTTTTTTTTTTTTTTAAGACGGGGTTTCACCATGTTGGTTAGGTTGGTCTTGAACTCCCGACCTCAGGTGATCTGCCCCCCGCCTTGGCCTCCAAAGTGCTTGGATTACAGGTATGAGCCACCACACCGGGTCTCTTTCCTGGTTTTTGACTCTCTGTTCCAGCTTTAAATTTAAGTAACAGCAAAAAGCTTGGAACCAGTAAACTCTGAAAGCTCCTCCTTCACTACGGCCAAGGATTGGCTCAGCTCTGAGCTTCTCTGTGAGAATCCCCTCCTTAGTCTTACTCTTTCTTGCTCTCTGAATCAGAAGCTCAAGCCAAAGCAACTGATAGACGGATGAGACATTCCAACACACTCATGCTGAAAGAGCTTATCGGAGTTCTTACTTCCTGTTTTATTCCACTGATGAGCAGGTCTTCAGGCAACTTTACTAAAATAGTTATTTCTTGTACTCAATTTAAAACAAGTCCCTTGCATTTACAGCCATCTACTCCTCTGAAGAAATTGTAGGATAGAGGCAGAGGCAAAATAAACTGACAGTCTTAACTTCAAATGTCTTGTCTTTCTTAAGTGTTTCATCATCAGGAACGGAGTAAGAAGTGGGTGATAGATCTAGATCCACTTAGCAGTAGTTATGTTAACATCAAATCCGTCATTTTAAAGAATTCTATGTTCTCCCACCTGATTATAAATTACATACATACAGCCAGGCACGGTGACTCATGCCTGTGATCCCAGCACTTTAGGAGGCTGAGATGGACAGATTGCTTGAGCCCAGGAGTTCGAGACCAGCCTGGGCAACATAGCAAAACCCCGTCTCTACAAAAACACTAACTGGGCATTGTGGTGTGAGCCTGCCATCCCAGCTACTTGGGAGGTTGAGGTGGGAGGACCACCTGAGCCTGGGAGGTTGAGGGTGAACAGTGATCCCGCCACTGTACTCCAGCCTGGGTGACAGAGCAAGACCCTTTCACAAAAAAAAAAAAAAAAAAATTGGTTTGGTGGTCTGGCACTGTGGCTAACGACTGTAATCCCAGCGCTTTGGGAGGTCAAAGTGGAAGGATCTCTTCAGGCCAGGAGT